GAATAAGAAGTCCAATAAGAGAGTTGCAGACTTGGATTTTGTAAGCTTCTTAAAGGAGGAGTGTTTAGCTTTCAAGTTAGATGAGAAGAATCAATTAGAAAATACAAGTAAGCTCCATAATGCTTTGGTTGTTAAATTTTTTGGTGACAACATTCTTTTTTATGTTATAAACTCTGAGTTGAAAAGTCAATGGTATCAATTGGAAAAATTTCATCTTAACTGGTTGGGTAAGGGTTGGATACTTTGTTCATTTGATGATGATGAGTCAACAAATTTGGTGTTATCCAATGGACCATGGTATTTCATGGGACATATAAGCTTGCTAAGGAACTTAGAGGACGTAGTCCTATTAAACTGTCTCCTATAAGTAGGAAGTTGGTTGGAGAACCAAAATAAATGGTGGGGAACTCTTCCCCTCTGGTCCATTAATGTCTTCAATCACTTTTTGGAATTGTAGAGGAGCTAGAAAGAATCTAGCTTCTCTAAATCTCAAAGAAGAAGTGAGAGATCATGGAGTTTTTTTTTGTGACTATTGGAAACTAAAATTACTTCTATTAGTAGATTGGAAGTCTAATATCTTATTGGATATGATTGGGATTTCTTTCAAGTTTTATCAGATGGTTTGTCTTGAGTTATTCTTGTTCTTTGGAAAGTCAAAGTTGCATCTTTTTCTATATTAGATTCTTCTCACCAAGTTGTTATAGGTGAGCTAGAATTTATAAATATGGGAGTTTGGAGGATTTCTACTGCTTATGGTAATAAGGAGTTTGTCCAGAGAAGGATTCCTTGGGAGAAATTTGAATCTTTTTCTTCAATCAATTTTCCTATGGTACTGGGAGGGGATTTTAATTGCTTATTATCCAAGGAAGATGAATAACGGGGTGGGTACGGGGGGGAGGGGGGGGTGTACAAGATTTAAATTCCCTCAAGCTTCAAAAGAGATGAAGTCATTCTTGGTGAACAATGATTTCCATGATGTCAGGATTATTGGTCCTAAATTGACTTGGTGCAATAATAAGTCTCGTGGTGCTAGTATTTTGGAAAAATTAGACAAATGTTTTGTAAATTCTGCAGCAATAAACTCTTCGAATCGGTTGGTAATGAGACATCTTACTAGAGGGCTTCTGACCATTGTCCAGTTCTATTAAATATTCTAGAGCATATGTTCATACTTGATTGAATTATCAGATTTGAAGAAGTGTGGGCATCTTATCTGGCATCTATTGCAATTGTGAGATCGACTTGGAGTAATAGAACTAGAGGGAACTTTGTTGATTTACTGAAAAAGTTAAGAAGAACATTGAGGACTTTATTTTTCTAGAGCAAAGCTAAGCATAAAGATTATGTCAGCATAAAGAAAAACTAATAAATTGTATCATGGTGTTGCATTTGAAGGAAGCAAAGGAGGGATGGCTTTCGGAGGAGGACTGTTGGTTGCTTAAGGCAAAGGTTAGTGAGCTGAATTTAACTTTGGCTCAGTTGAACACCTGATGGAACCAAAAAGCTAAGGTAAAATGTATTTTAGAGGTTGATACCAATTCTACGTTTTTTCACTCATTTTCTAGTGTAAGAAGAAATGCAAATTATATTTTTAAAATAAAGGATGACAATGGTAAATAGGTGGAAGAACAAAATCAAATTGCATATGTGTTTTTTCAATTCTTTCATAATAAATAGAAGGATAGGAACTGTAATCTGGATGGCTGGCCATCACTTACCTCTATGTTCTCATGATGATAATGATATATGGTTGTTAAATAAGGAACTATTACTGGAGGAATTTGAAGCTATAGTGAATCAAACAGGAGGAAACATCTCACCATGCAATAATGGTATTTCTTATTCATTTATCAAAGTTTATTGGTGCATTATTAAAAATGATTTTTGGAATGCTATTAATCATTTCTTCTACTAGGGAGAGATGAATGTTGGCTGGAAAGAAACCTTTATTGTTCTTATCCCTAAGGTAAGACATCCTACAGTTCTAAACAACTATAGGCCCATTAGCCTTTACAGATCAATTTACAAGTTCGTGGAAAAGATACTATTAAACATAATGAAATCCTCTATTCAAAAGTTAATCTCGGTGGAGCAAGCAACTTTTCTTAATGGATGGTCACTAGCAGATCATATATTTGTTGCTAAAGAGGTGTTCCATAAATTTAGGTTTTCTAAAGCTTCCAAAGGTCTTGTTTCCTTCAAAATCAACACAGATCAAGCATATTATAATATGTGTTGGGATACCTTAAGAAATATTTTACGGTATTTTAGCTTTCCTACTAAATTATCTAGTTATCTTATGGAATGCGTTAAAGATCTAAAATTCTCTTTGATGATTAATGGAAGACTTTCTTGTTGGATTCATGCAATGGAGTGGGTTCTAACAAGGTTTACCTCTATCTCCTTATCTTTTTATTTTATGCTCCCAGCTTTTATCCAATTCTTTTAATCATAAAATAGGTTCTATGTGAGTTCAAATTTCTCCAAATTGACTGATAATATCTCATCTATTGTATACAGATCATATTTTAATTTTCTCTGAAGCAATAAACAAAAATGTGAAGGAAGTTAAGGGTATTTTATCAATTTTTTGTGGATGGACAGCGCAAAGGATAAATATTGGAAATACGTTATTCTTTTTGGAAAACTTGTTAAGAAGAGGAAGAGAAAATTTAAAGAATGTATTCTGGGTTTTAAGTCCGTAAATTAATTTAATTATCTTGGTAAAAAAGTTGTGTTGAAGAGACTTGTGGCAGTAGTATTTTGTTTCATTATTGAGAAAGAATTAAGGTTAATTAATGTTTGGGGTAGCAAATTCATATCATCAGCAGGAAAGTTCACTCATATCAAATCGGTATTGCTCGCATTTCCTACATTCTATTGTACTTTTTCTTTGTTTCCTAATGGAGTGCTTATGAATTGCATATGATGTGTAGGAATTTTATTTGTAATAAGCAGGACGGGAAACGCTCGGCATTCATTATGTGAATTGGAACAATTTGTGCAAACCTTTAAGAGGGGGTTCTCGTGGCTTTCATTCTTGTGCTAGTATGGTTTGGCCTTTAAGAGCAAAATTGGCTTGGAAGGTTGTTCAGGATGAAGAATCATTGTTGTATAAATCTTTAGGATCTAAATATGGTTTTTCTGGAGGAGAGGTTGGATATAGAAGGGGGAGTTCTCCTTCATGCAAAATATTAAACAATGGAGAGAAATTTATGAAACTAGTTGTAAGATTAAAGATTGTTAATGGTTACTCTATTGATGTTTATAATGATATATGGATCTTGGATAAAAGTTTGAATAAATGGCCAACTTTTGTGGCTATTTTTGGACATGAAAATTTAACAATGGATAAGCTCATTTGGGGTGGTAAATGGAATGTAGATGAGTTAAACGTATTCTTTTGAGAAGACCTAATTTCCGTAATTTGTAAAATTAAGATTTAGCTGGATCAGGAAAATGATTTTTTAGAGCTTATTCATCAAAAATCTAGTATTTCTATCTCAGCTCTTGCTTACAAGGCTTTGGTTCAGGAACAACCTTGTTGTTCTTATTGAGAATGCTTTAAAAAAGCTAAACTTAGGGCTCATGTAGAAGTATTTTGGTGACATAATTTTAACAATGCTATTCCTACATTCCAATTTTTGTTTCCTAGAAGAATTCAAGAGGATTTTGATTGTCCAAGGGGTTGCAATGTTAAGGAAGATCTTGATCATGTCACAGTGAAGTGTGGGATGTTTATAGAGGTTTACATTATTTTAATAAATGGAGATTTGGCTTTCCTAACTTTGAGTTGTTGCAAGATTACTTGAATTGGATGGAGCAATATAGTAAAGAATATGGTTTTCTTATTAATATTTATTGTAATTTATTATATCTCAATTGGCAGGAAAGAAACAAATTTTTACATGAAGGAAAAGAGGAAAGCACAATGGTTATTGCTACGAATTCAGTAAGTTATGCTTCTGTTCATACATGGTTGATAATATTAAATTGAACGATTGGGGTACTAATCAATCATATTTACTGTTAGATTGTTGGCACCCTCCTCCTCCCTATTGGATTAAAATTAATGTGGATGCATCTTTATTAAAATCTTATAAAGCTGAAATTGAAGGTGTAATTCAAGATAGTTAAGGGATATTTCTCTAAGCCTATTGTTATACTTGTATGCATTGGGATGTTTCTCATCTAGAGAATATGGCTATTCATTATATAAAGAACATATCAAAAGATTGGATCCTAAGTTACAAAGGGATTGTCATAAAAGGAGACATTTATAACATCATCAAAAATTTTCAAGATTTGGTCGCAACTTGATGGAGGATCTTGCTTTTTTAAAGGAATGTAATTAAGCCCTTTTTAATTGGACAAATAGAAATAGTAATAAGTTAGCGAGTATGTGTGCTAACTTTGCTCTTTTCAATAATTTACATTAGGATGATATTTCTTCTAATTAGATTCCTCCTTCATTTGTTAGTTTGTTAAGGAGGAATTTGGATATGAGGGGTGGTAAGTTGTAATAATTCTTCTTTTTTTTGTTAATGCAATTGCATTGCTTTCTCAAAAAAAAAAAAAAAAAAAACATCTTTTAATGATATCCTTCTATTCCCAACATAATTGATTTATTCAAAACATAAAGGGTAATGTTGTGGTGCTGTATGATACGGTGCTACAATGTTTACACATCTAGGTTCACCATCAAAATTATGGTAATTATTAAACATATTTGGTTAAACCCAGACTTCAAAAGTAGCTAATTAATTTCTTTGAAATAATAGCAACTTGAAAAGTAAGAACTGATAATGCATTTGATTAATAAACTTCTTCTAATCTCTTGGGACTCACCCTATTAACAAGCTAAAAAAATTTATTAGTAGCCATTTTCTTTATTAATTTATGAGCATAATTCAATGGCTATGACATTTGTATCCTACATCTACAACAACTATGGTCCTACTAATCCATTATAAAATGTTTGAATAACCAACCAACAAATGAAAACATCGTGAGGGCATTTCCTAAGCATATCCATAAATATCTCCCAACTTTCATAAATAGTTCTCCTTCATCTAGAAAAAAAAGTGATATAATTTCTAAGTATAGCAAATTTTCAAAGTGGAAAATAATTTTCTAGAACTTTGTATGCCAACTCATTCCAAGTGGTTATAGAGCTTGGGGAAAAGAATTTAATAATATTTTAGCTTTATCCCTTATAGAAAAAGGGAACAGTCAAAATCTAATGTCAACATCACTAACACTATTATACTTAAAAGTTGCATACATTTCTAAGAAACTAGCTAAATTTAAGCTAGGATCATCAATAGGAGTTCACCTAAATTTATAATTTTGAAATGTTTGGATAATAGCCAATTTAAATTATGAATTATTAACAAGAATACTAGGTCTAGTAATTATTTGATGGATTCATTCTACTACATAATTAGCACATTCCTTAAGTGGTCTAGCATGATCTTAATCTGAAACTATGTTAGATTTGGTTAAAAAAATTATTTTCAAATTTTTGTAGTGGATCTTTTTATCTCTGGATTAAATAATAAGGCCTCCTTACGAGATCGACCAAGTATACAATATGATATAACTATAAATTAGAAACTAAAAAAATATAATGTAGTTTTTTGGATTTTAAATTTTTTTTAATAAATAGAATAAATATGTGGTTTATAAGTCAGTATAAATAAGCACTTGTTTTAACAATATAGTAAATTTAAATAAACAAGTTACATCCCTAACAACGATGTCAAAAACTTCTTTGGAGCATACAATATGATAAGTTAATGGTGACCTAATGTAAAACTAACTAAATTGAAGCATGCCTTAGTTTTCTTTGATATAAATTTTATAACAGCCCAAAAATTTATGCAAGTATACAAGCCAAATCAAGTAAAAAAGTGATCGAGGAGAGCGTTAAAAACCATGAGGAACTAATATACTAAACTTTAACAAAACTATTATAACTTACTCCAATTGCATTAATTTTTCCTATTAAAATAAAAAAATAGATTATTGAATTCCTACCATTGAATCAAAATAAGTAAAATTAGTTGATGTAATTTTTATAGAATATTTTGGATTTATGGTTTTAAATAATATATCTTTCCTAATAAAACTCTTAACTCTAGATATAGATTAGTGCATGTGCATCCCAAGATCTCCATCGAGCTTACAATGATAAAAATAAAGATTATCAATGTTCTTACAATTTTGCTATCTCTATATAACCTAAAATACTAAAACATTATATGTCTGAAAATTCCAATATTCTATTTTAATATTCCTAATTATTCTTTCAATCTTCCATCAAGGTTATACATCACACTAGGTTTTAACTACATATATAGCCATTATATGCATTCAATGAACAATAGTATTATTAAAATTAACAATATTTCAATTAAAGAATAAGTCTATATCAGTACTTAATATACTCTTTATATCATCAGCAAAAAAGAGTAAATCTAGCTACATATGAAAGAATTAACAAACAAACTCATCGCCATTTAATTCTTAGCAGAATAAAGTACAAAAGAAGTAGTAAGAATTTTTTAACCATGATGCATCAATTTATCTTCTCAATATTCCTTCATCCTCTGCATATAAAGTTTTTAATACAAGCACATGCTAAACCCTCTAGAAGATTCTATCTTGTACTTCCCTAGCCTCACCTGGGCTTTACTCTAACGGGGCACTATGGAAATACACTACAAAGTACTAATTGTTTCTACTTACGAAACTAACCTCTCAAAAAATAAAAGTAAGCACCATTTAAAGTAAGTACATGATCAAATTTGTGCACTAAGGTGTTGTACATAGTGGCACTACATTATCAAAAAAAAAATACTAGCACCTCAGCACTTTATAATTGGCTCCACTACAACACTGAGTGATATGGCATGGTCATAGCCCAAATTACTACATCTATTTGTCATGTAGGCCAAGATCTTATAAGTTATAACTAATCCTCTATGGCGACATAAAATGTGAGCACTATAGCTCTTGGAATAGCATTCTACTTTCGTGGCATTAAAAAGTTGGTGCTCCTGCATGAATTTTCTTGAGACACCCATTGCTACAATGATGATTTTAGGATAAACAGTATTGTGATTCATTATGGCATTTACATCATTGACATCATGGAGCTTTCAGATAGAGAAGGTTAGTTCCACTGTATTGAAATAAATGCTTAATTATTGATAAATTTAGAGCTAAGACATTATTCTTCTTGGCACTTTGATGCTATCTTACACTTATATTTTAAATTTTCCTACATAATTCTTATATATACACACTAAAAAAAAAATTCACTAAATTTAACATAACTAAAATACTGAGATCTTTGAAACTGAGATCTTTTCAATCTTGCTACAGTAATCTATTTTATAAATATAATGTTCAAAGTCTTTATTTTACTTTCAAATTTTTGTAATCTTATCATTGAAAATTATCATGTGATTTTCTATTCTGCTTTGTGATTCATTCTTTCCTGTTTTAGAGAGTGAGTTTTTTTTCTCTAATATCTAGAAGATATAATCACAACTAATAATATTTAAGAATTTTTGAAAGGGATCTAGCTTGCATAAAAGTTAATAAAAAAAGTGGCCAATGATGCCAAAAATAAAAGATGCGCAATGACGCCAAATTAAAAATATATATATATACACAAAGTGTATCAAAAATTAAAAGGTGCCCAAAGCGCCAATCAAATTGATAAGAGGCATAAAATGAGCCCACCAAAAGCAAGCTTCTTCTCCTTTTAAAATTTTTAAATCTTAAAAGACTTCATGTGTCACTTGATATTTTTTAAAGACTTGATTTCGTATTTCTAATTGTAACTAATTACTTTGATATATTATTCTATAAAATATTTTTCTAAAAATAAGTTTTTGAATGGATCTCGTTTTTTAAACCAATTGGCTTTCGTTATTTAGATTTTTTTGTTTTCAAAAGACTGTTTATCTTGAAGAAGACTAAGTTAGGGTTAACAGGATCATTTGTTCTAACTATTTTTAAAATTTTGGCAATATTAACTCAATGATCCTTATAAAATTTTAAAATCAATCACATTGAGACTATATCATATTCATGCTTTGAAAAATAAAATCCTTATTTTGTTTGTGTTTGTCTTTTTTGTATCATTTTTTTTTTGTTTTCATTGGATTTTTAAGTTTTTGGGCCTTCTCTGATCATCTCCATCCTCTGATTCTCAATTTTGTTTTCACATCATCCCGGCTAATACCCCTATTGGCCAGGATGATTCGATCAATTTACTCTGAATACCTCCCTCTACTATCGGCCTAGATGATCTGATCATCTTCTGCTTCAATTATTTCTTATTGGCCTGGCCGATCCATTTTTCTGCCCGGACGATGTTCTCCCCTTTATGGATAATCAGCCTGACCGATCCTCATGTTTTTCCAGGACGACACGCGAGGATTTATATTTAAAATCTTTAAAATTGATCGAGATGATCCATTTTGAATAATCGGCCTAAACGATCTATCTATTCGGCCTGGCCGATACAAGTGGCACATGATTTAAATATTTTAAATTCGGTCGGTATGATCCATTAGTGGACATCGTCCTAGACGATCCATCGAATCAGCATGGACAATCTACTTTTTCAACGGTCGTCCGGCTTGACTCCTCGAGATGATCGCCTGTGTCTAATCGTCCTGGGAGATATCTGATCGGCTCCGATGATCGGACCACCTTTTTGACCAATCGTCCTGTATACAATTATTGAACTAAATCGGCCTGGACGATTCTATGATCTGCCTAGCTGATCTGGCTGATTCTATATAAATCGAGCCCTTCCAACTGTTTTCTTCACACCAAATTATTCTCTTTGCTTCCTGATCTCTGTTTTCTTGCTATTTCGTTGAAATGGCTGGAGGAAAGTGCTCTCGTCACCCATCCAGAAGTTCCTCGAGGGCCACTCTAGACCCTCATTTCCTGGAGGAGGATGATCAAGCCACCTACCAGCGCTATAAGGAGGCTGGAATCATAGTCTCTTGGACAATCAATCAAAATTTTTTCTCTTATTTGATATTAGACTTTTTGCCGATACCTCCTTGTGCTTTCTTCTGACTCTTACTGTCCCATTCAATTCTGAATTGCTCTATGAGTTCTTTGCAAGTCTTTGCTTAATTTTGCTTTTACCTCTATTGCCTCATATGTGAATCGACGCCCTATCAATATCACATATCAAGATTGTGCAGAGATTTTGCAGCTTTCCACCACAGGGGATAAACTTCACACCCTGTGCTCTGATCCTGATTTTGGCTAGGCTACGGCCAATCATTTTCTTCGTAATTCTAATGCTAATTTTCACATGGGTGAGACTAGCACCTTACTCAAGGATGCTAAGACTATCCAACACGTCCTTCGCACTTTGATAATTCCTAAGGATGGTGATTGTGTTCACATCACTCCCCTTCTTTCCCTCACCACCTTTTACATTTTAACAAATCATGAATTCAATGCTATTGACTTGATCCTTCACTAGATCGACCATCTGACTACTATTCAGGATCCAGGTCATAGGAGGAAACCTAATCTAGCCCTAGGGCATATCATTTCTTATGTCTTAGAATCCAAATATAACCTCCAATATCCTGCTCCACCAAACCTTCAACCTGCCTTCTACTCGAACATTTCCTTTCAAACTCTTCATAGTACTCATCTCCACCCAGGGGACACGGAAGCTCAGGGCAGGGGACGATGAGGCTCCTGTACCTACTCCTGCACCTATATTTGCACCTTTTTTGCTCCGCCAGCACTCTCAGCTGGACCAGTTGGTGGAGCGCTTTGACCAGTTGGAGGCCCGATTCTACACTTACGTTGCTTTACAGGAGCAGCAACATGTTGTGGACATAACCCACTACGAGCAACACCGCGCGGAGGACTTAGACCATATTGATGCCTACGTTGCTCACCAACAGCAGCAGCACGACCAGGACATAGCCTGGTTTGGTGCCCAATTTGCTACACTATCGAGCTACTTTCAGCAGGCACCTCCACCACCACCTCCTCCTTCAGATGATCAGGGGCCATCATTTTTCTAGTTTTTCTTTTAGTTTGTTT